GAGAAAGCAAAATCAGCATTTCTGTCAAACGACCTTAATATGAAGCTAAGAGAGGTTCAGAAATAGCCATTTCAAATCTAGATTGTTGACCAGAACGATCTTAATATGAAGCTAAGAGAGGTTCAGAAATAGCCATTTCAAATCTAGATTGTTGACCAGAGGGAGGTCAACCAGTCAGCAGTATCCGTCGTCTGCAGAGCTATTCTTAACAGAAGTACTAAAAGTGATCAACAGTGTCTCAAGTCTTGATCGATGACCTGGAACACTGACCATTACGTCACGCTCGGCAACTGAGAGAGAGAGTCAGTCACTGGTTGTTAGAGAAATCATTACAAGGCTGAGAGAGCGCAAGACGCCATCGAGGGTGTTGAATGTGAATAAATAAAAACCAACAAGAAATAGTGAGGAGTAACTGATTGAGAAAGACCAAAATGTTAAATGAAGATTTTATGAAAACTTGAAATTAAATAATCTAGGATCTTGAAAAAAAGTGCTCGAAGAAATCACTTTGTTAAACAAAATGTGTTCTTTACTCATAAAACACGTGAATAAATTGTTATAACTTTCGTTGTTGTACAAAAATAAGAGTTAATGGTGTAATAGATACCTACAGAGACATAAAAAGATAATAACTGAAAATAATACAAGTGTAGTAAACATATTTATGAATAACAGAAAGGCAACATTATTCCCTATAGACGTTCACCTTCAATTTTAAGGTCACAACAAAAAATAAGCTCTTTCCATTAAAAATGTTTGGCGTGATAGAGGTTTGTAAACACCTGTTGCACAAACTTTTACCCCCCCCCCCTTTCTGGTCACGAAGAACTTTATCAGCAGAAATCGGATCTCCTTTATCGAGTATTGATTGTGTTTACTTCCAGCAAAAATTAGTGACGCAATCACCAGTAAATTCTGTAGCCTACTTATCTAATCACGTCCCTCTGACATTTAAGATAACGTTTGTAAACGGAAAAATCAAATAATTACTTAAACGCAATTGTTTGTCAAAATGAAATAAAGCTGTTATTTTAAGTTGATTTTCTGAAAGAAATGATTTAACTATTTCGTTTGTCTGAAATTAAGTCTCCTATTTTAATTTACGAAACAAGAAGTTAGGTTTCTACTATAACATTCATATAAATGCAACAGTTTGTTTAGTCTGTATAATGTTTGGATATATTGAACCAAGAAGAGCTAAGCCTTACAAGTACAACAATTTTCCATGTGTTGAAAACTTGCCTTGTTATTTGTACTTGAGTTGATAATCTCTTGAAACATTGATTTTTTTATGAATATTATTCATAAATTTTAGCCCCCCCCCCCCCGTGGGGCAGCGCTAAATCTGAAGGCTTGTAATGGGTTAGATACTCACGGTGAGCACAGCACAAATAGCTTTGTGCTTAATAACAAACAAAAAAAACATCCATGTTAAGATCTATCATGTACTATTATCATTTACTGATTTTTAGTCGAATCAACAGCTCTAGTGGCACAGCGGTATGTCTGTTGACTTGCAACGCTACAAACCGGGTTTCGATACCCGTGGTGGGCAGACCACAGATAGCCCATTGTGCAGCTTTGTGTTTAATTACAAACAAACAAACACTTGAATCAATTTTACTTCCCATTCAGAAGAATTGGCGAACCAGCAAGCTAATCTTATAACTTACCAAAGAGATCAACGCAAAGCAATAATGGACACATCCTGTTTACTTGTCTATCGTGTTACGTATTAGAATTTCAATTAACCTGAAATTGAGTTAACTGGTAAATTTAAATTTAGTAGTTAAATTGTACTTTGGATTTAGTAGTTGAATTAAAGCCGATATATAGTCAGTTTATGATATTTGCCACAGTTTTCTTTTAAAACACAAATACGTTTTAATATACACACAGCAATACTATTTACAACAACAGTTATTACAAACAATTATTTATAAACAGTTTCACAAACTTACAAGCAATATAAAGTCTTCTTTCTAGTCTGGAACTTCCTTAATATCTTATCGAGGGTTTATGATGAGCGAGTTAATTGCTGGTTGATGTAGGCACAATTCACTTAACAGGGAGCTAGCTAGCCCTGTAGTCTTCACTGTTCATACGCCTATTAGAGATTGAGTTTCCACCGATGACGTTAGGTAAAGTTTTAGTAAAAGTATTAATGTCCGATGTGAATCCACTGAAGTTAAATGGTTTATAATGTTCGAACTTTGTAAAGGTTCCTGGTCAAATATCTGAGGTTTTCCGATTGTTAAGCGTTATAACAATCACAGTTATAGCTTCCGAAGTTTATAGCACACTGACTATAGCAAAATAATAATAGATACTCTCTTTTTCGGCGCGTCGCGTTGGTTATATTTAAAGGCGTGTGGAGGTGTTCTAGAAATTTCAGGTTTATGTAACAGTACTGAGCTACATTTAAGGGTCTACGTATATACATATATTGTTGATTCTTACTCTCAAGAATCTTCAACAACTTTGGAGAATATGCGGGAGTTTCGCAATACATATCTAACACTATAAGCTATGTATGTTTCTAAATATAAATTTAATCTAAACAAACGTTGATATTAAAATAAATATATAATAACAAATTCGTTACAATCGAAACACGACTATGTCTATATGTACCGGGATTTTGATAAAGTACTGAGTAGCAAGATACTTTTCCTCCTCATTGAGCTCATTATTACTTTATGTTCAACAAAGAACTTTCATAAAACTT